ATATTAGTTCAGGTGAGTGTTATTTGAGCATTACTTATTGGATTTTTTTCCTTTTTTATTGTGAAAATACTGTACAGAGGGGTTACAATTACATGGGCAAGATAATGAGTACATTTCTTATCAAGCATTGTAGCCTCCTCCTTTGTTTCCCCTTCCCATCCCTTCCCATCCTACTTATTGGATTTTTTATACAAGGTATTTTTTCACTGACAAATGAATTTTTCATTTTTAATTGGCAAATGGTAATTGTGTTTATTTATGGAGTACAATTTAATTTTTAGATCTATGCATGCAATGCACATAGATTCAATGAAGTTAGTTAAATAGCCATTACCTTAACACTTATCATTTTGTGGTATGTTAAAATTTAAAAATTTCAGCTATTCAATGCACTAATTGTGACCACAACACAATGGATAATTAGCTGAGCATGACATCCTGGGCAAAAGTTAGTGCGACCGCATCTAGATGAATAAAAAAATGGGCTTGTTGGTGCATACCTACCATCCTAGAAACATGGGACACTTAAGTAGGAGGATCATGGGCATAAACATGAGATCCAATAACAACTAAGCAAGCAGGTGTTAGTGTATAGCACAAAGGGTAGAGTGCCTACCTAGCAAGCACAAAGCCCTGAATTTGGCCCGGTGCTGTCAAAATAATAGATAAGTAAAACATTAACTAAAACTTCAATTAGTATATTCCCTTCCCTCAATCTTTTCCTCTCCTTCTTGTTCTCTAGTAAATACATTTTGATTCTCTATTTTTATGAGGTTGACTTCTTTAGATTCCATCTATGTGGGATTATACAATATTTGTCATTTTGTGCCTGGCTTATTCCACATAGCAAGTATCCTGTTGTTGTACCCATGTGGCAAAGATTGACAAAATTCCTTCTTTTTAAAGACTCCTTTTTAAAGGCAGTTTTGTGTGTATGTACCACCTTTTCTTTAACTATTCATCTGGTGGTGGGCATTCAGGTTGTTCCCATTCATAGTTATTGTGAATAGTGCTACAATGAACACATACTGATTTTACTTCTTTTGCTTTGATTTATTTCTTGGATTGCTAGATTATATATGTAAATGATCAAAAGAAGAGATAAAAATATACAATAGATTCATAAAAAGTGCTCAACAGCCCAGGCCCTGTGTTCAAGCCCCACAACTATCAACCCCCCCCAAAAAACCAACACTCACCCTTAAAATGCTCAACATAAATAATATCAGAAAAATGCAAATTAAAACTACAATGAGATATTGCTCGATAATTGTTTTGATGGTTGTTATTAAAAAGATACATGATAACAAGTGTTGGTAAGAATATAGAGAAAGTGGAACTCAGGTATTATTGTTGGTTGGAAAGTAAGCACAACTATTATAGAAAATACTGTAAAGATTTCTCTGAAAACTGCATTGACTCTGAAACTTTGTTGAAAATTACTTGTCCATATATATGTGGGACTATTTGTGGTTTATTTCACTGTGCAATCTTACTATCTTCCTTACCACAGGTTTTAAGAAAAATCGAAATCAGCAAATGTTACTTCTCCAACTTCATTTTCAAATTGTTTTGTCTATATTAGGTTGTTTGAATTTTCACATGAGTTTTAGAATGTGCTTAACAATTTCTACAAACAAGCCAGCTGGGATTTTGACTGGGGTTGCTTTGTAACAATAGATCTGTTTTGGGAGTAATGACAGCTTAATGAAACTACAGCTTCTGCCCTAAGAAGGTATCTCTTCATTTATTTAGGTCTTTTTTATTTCTCTTATTGATGTTTGGTAGATTTTAGAGTATAGGTCTTGCACATATTTAATCAGATTTATCCTTAAGTTCTAAAGCATAACCCTTCTTTGTATGCTATCCAAAGCCCCGTGAATTTTGAGTTTGCCTATCAATAGTGGTTCCAACCATAATGGACCAGTTAAATGTTTTGAAGAGACGCATATAGATTGGAGACAAAGTGTGCCCTAATGCCTGTAAATCTGATCTTTAATCAGAGTTAGCAATTGAAAACCTTTCAATTTTTACATTAGATAAACAGAATGTTCAAATTGCTTTTGTACTGACTAGTTATCAGCTACCTGTTTTTTGCTCTTGGGTGAGTATGTGTATCTGTACATATGAGTATTCACACCTGAAATATGAATTTCATATTTCTAAAATTTCATATTTCTAAAATTAAATTGATGACCTTTATGGTTGTGATAGGCAGAATTTTAACGTGGCTCTTAAGGTTTGTGCCTTCTGCTGCACATTTCTATGTGCTTCCTGGGGGCTGGAATACAGCTCATCAAACTTAAAGTACATGTGTGAAGGGCCCTTAGTTCAATCCCTAGTATGAGAAAAAAAATAAACCCAAAGCCAGCAAGACTGAGAAAACTGGCTTATGTCTCTAATTACAGGCAAAAGCTTAGCAATACCCCATTTCAATCAACATAAAGCTGGGTATAGTGTGCATCTGTAGTTTCATGAAAGTGGAAGGCCATAGGTAATAAGATCACCGTCTGAGTCCAGGCTCAGGAAAAAAACATGACACTCTATCTGAAAAATAACTAAAGCAAAAAATAGAGTAAGGATGTTGCTCAAGTGCCAGAATACCTGCCTAGAAAGCATAAGGTGCTAAGTTCAAACCCCAATACCACTCAAAGAACAAGGCAAGCCTAAAAACCAAATGAGCAGCTAACTCCAAGTACAACCAATGCCTATTAGAAGGAAAATAAATGTTACAGAAGTTTACAATTTCATCTTGATGCTTGTAAATAAATCAATATCAGTATATATAAGAAATCTGGCACATAAGTAAAAAACACAGATTGAGTTAATATACATTCAAATCACTGCTTCATTCCTCTTTAGAAAGATGCAAGTGGAGTTACTTTAAAGTCAGACCAAAATAGCTTTTGTGCATAAGAAGAGAAAGCCCTCCATGGTTCATGTTAAGGGTGTTAGGACATGAATAGTTACAATATCTATGTTTGAACTGTTGTATATATAATGTATATTTACAAAATGTCACAAATATACATATTTGACTGTAAAATATTTAGGTTAGAATACTTTCTGGATAATCTAGAAGATCTTCTAACAAAGTTAGCCTATTTTTTTTAATCTGAGGGTGTTTTGCTATATTTTTCATGGGGCTAATAATACTGGCCAAAAATGCTTCACAATATAGCTTTAGTTTCATATAAGATAGTGCATGTAAAAGTAGCTTTTAAATTTATACAATATATACAAGTTTAATGTGATTTTTAAAAATTGGGCCTGCTGGGCTGGGAAGGTGGCTCAGTGGAAGAGTGATTGCCTTGCATGCATGAGGCCCTAGGTTCAATTCCTCAGCACCACATAAGCAGAAAAAGCCAGAAATGGTGCTATGGTTCAAGTGATAGAGCTCTAGCCTTCAGCTGAAGAGCTGAGGGACAGCACCCAGGCCCAGAGTTCAGGCCCCATGACTGACAGAAAAACATGGGATTGCTTAGGGCTGGGGAAACAGGAAATTGTATTAGAAAAAAATAACTAAAGCTAAAAGAGGTGGGGTGTGGCTCAAGTGGCAGAGCACTTGCCTAGCATGCAGAAGACCCTAAGTGTAAACCTCAGTGCCAATTATAAAAAAAAGTACTGGACTTGTATGATGAAGGTAGACATAGAATCAAATATTTCATATGATAGTCTGGAGCCAAAATTTTGAAGAACTCATGCTTAACATGTACAAGGTCCTGGATTCAATGTCCAGTCTCAATAAAACAAATAAGTAACCAACCAAATAAGTCTTCAAATCTGAAAAATAGGTAGATGTAACAAGGAATCAGGCAGTGAAAAGAAAGACAGTCAAAGCAAAGCTTACTGGTGAAAGAAAACTAAAAAGGTTGATGACCAGTATTTTTCCAAGGAAATGTGTGGAATTATAAATAGAAATGATTGAGGAGGTACACGAGGGTGGCCTCAGGCTATAGCCACCAAGAAGGCAAAGAATGACTAGAAATAGACAAGGGGAAAAACTGGCTTGACTGGGGTTTTAGTTGGTGGCTGGGCTGACAGAACTGGAAAGAAAATGAATACTCAGAGTTTGGCAGCAGTAGAGCACACTGTTTAAGGATTGGGGCGCCAGAAGCACACTACTGGGGATCCTGAGTCCTGCTTTGCTTATAAGTCATTTTTTTTTTCATGTAGGCAAATTGCTTCATCATTTTGCCTCAGTTTTGTTACTTGTAAAAGGGAGATGGTAGTGTGTAGTTGGCAGAGTATCAGAGTTTAGTAAGTTGATAGTTCAGAGCTTAGCTAACAGTAGACAGGAAAAATATGTCAGACTGCTGTATTTGTAGTTAGTCTTCACCTTTCTTGTTACTTTGTACTCCAGGAAAGATGGAAACACTCGGCTTGCTATAAAAGTGATGAAATGTTAGTTGTAAGGACAGAGTGGGGCAGGCGTATTTGGGGATGGGAGTCCCACTTAGGATGAAGTGACACCAGTTTTCAGGGTACCTTCTTTACTGGACCACCCCCCATCCCACTCCGTGGTAACCATGAAAGAGGTCAAAGCCATAGCTGGCAGGATGTGTGAGTGACCTCCTTGGCGTGGCTAACCCGGGGCTTCTGCATTGTTGTCCCTGGATACTTGACAATTTTCACTTCTGCCTTTTGGGCCCCAGAAGCCATGTGGGCTCCTACCCAAGTGTCCTGGTTTCTAAGACTTGAGGGCCACTTGGCGGTCATCCTGCTTCCGGGACCAGCCTGGCCACGCATTGGCGGAGGAGTTCAACGCTGACCCCACACTCCTAGCCCCAGCTCCCCAGGCCTCCCGCGCAGGCGCCGCCTGGCCTAACCGTCCCCCCCCCCCCCCCCCCCCGCCCCCCGCCGCCATGTTGCCCCCGCCCGCCTGTGAGCTCCCTCCCACCACTCCCACTCCCTCCCCTCCCCAGCTGGGCTCGTGCTCCCATCCCTCAGCTCCCCACCCCCTGGTGAGGTCAGGCAGAGGCTCCTCCGCTGTGGCCGCCGCTGCCGCCGCTGCTGCTGCTCAGCTTCTGTTCCCAGTGAAGCCTCTAACGGGGACTTTTGAAAAGAACTGGAGCAGCGATCCTGTGCGTGCGCGAGGACAGGGCGAAGTGGCCAGGGCAAACAGAGGGTGCAGAGGTCCGGGTGCTAGTACCTCGCAGCAGGAAAGGAACCCCAGCTGCACCGCACGACTCGCTCCCTCTTCGGCCGTTGGGGCGCAGCAGCTGGTGGACACGCAGCAGCGGCAGGGCGCCGGGGACGTGGCCAAGCAGGTGAGGCAGGATTGGGAAGTCACCAAGGCTGCCGCAGCCGCTCCTCGCGCCTCCGAGACCTGAGTCGCGCAGGGGTGCGACACTTGGAGTTGCTGTGTGCACCAGGGACAGTTAGGCAGGGAACTAGCTTCACTCCTTGTGGTCCCCCCCCCCCCCCCGCCTCCCTCCAGTGCCCGCGTGCTTGTGCGCACCCCGATTTCTGTACCTTTGCATCTCTAAGTCCCTCTTGGTCTCACCACATCCGTGAGTTCTAGAACCCTCCCCAGAGCCCACTTTTCCTAGGCTTCTTTGTCATCTCTCCAATCTCTTCTCCTGGCTTCTCTGTCGTTGCTCTAATAGCCTGGGGTCCATCTGTCTGCTCAGCCTTGCTGTCCCTTCCCCTCTTCCAGTTTCTACTTTGTGTTCCCTAATCCATCTCTCCTTCAGAACCTTCTAAGTTAGGAGGTTGTGCTGCCAACTCCCCCACTCGGGACTTTTCCTCCAGGCTTTTAACTTAGTTTCGGACAGCTTCAGCTCTGAATGTGTTTTGGCCTTTGGGGTTTAATCACACTTGACTAATGATTTTTCCCCCCTTAGAGACGTCTTATTTCTAGTCTACCGTTTATGGAGAAGTACTATTAAAGATCCTCTAGTAAAAATATCCGCTGAGGAGCTTTAAAGTTTCTTTCTAGCTTTCAATAACCTAGTCCAAGAACCATAGCTACTTAAACTGTGTGTCTTTGTGCTTGTATGTAATCCTCGTACATAGCTCTAAACTTCCCTGAGCAGGCGTGTTGGAGAATGGATTGGTGGGATTTCTGATGCCTGGCTCTGTTTTTCCATCTGCAAATCACGATGTTTCTCGTTTTAATGTAGTTAGAGGACCTTGGTGGTTTCGGAAAAGTCACTCAAGTTAGCACAGACTGCTTATTAAGCATATTTAATAGGAACTGAGAGACTCTACAGCTTAGAACTGCTTCTGTTTGGAAGGCACCTGCCTTCTTTTTTTTCCTTTTTTTTTTTTTTTTTAAAGAAGCCACAATTTCTTATACTACATTTGCTATTTATATAAACTCTCCACAAGCAGCATTTTAGAATCTCATAGTTCTTACCCAATGAACCCCTATTAGCTGTGTTACTTTCTCTCCATGCAGTTCCTGTGTTAGTTTTCCCATACTGATGTTCCTTTGCACCCTTCTATGCTGTAATTAGTGAGTGAAGAAAATTGAATGGAGAAGCTGAAAGCAGAGGCAGATACCAATGAACCAGAGCATGCTGACGTTCACAGCTGTGTTTTTGGAAATTATTTACATCTACTGCTCAAACTTGAAAACTGAGAAAAATGGATTAAGCAACTCATGACATCATTTTAGGTCTAAAAATATTGGCTCCATTAACTGCAAGTTTTTATTGATAACATTAGACTTAACAGTCATAGATTTGTTTGCTGAGTGCGCGACTACTGTGATACCATTGTTAAGAGTGTGCGTTAATTGGAAGCACTCTCCAAAGAACTCTAGTTGGAAAGAAGATAGTGAGTAAATTTCACTGTACTGGTAGCACTTATTTTGGCAGTGACACAATGAGACTAGTTTGTGCTGCAAGAGCAAATGATATAATTTTTGATGTGCCAGCCCTGGAACTTGAACTTAGGGCCTAGGCACTGTGCTTAACCATTTTTGCTCAATGCTACTACCTTACCACATCTGAGTTTTTCATGGTTATTTGGAAATAAGAGTCTCACAGACTTTCCAGACCTGTCTGGTTTCAAACCATGATCCTCAGATCTCAATATCCTGAATAGTGATGATTACAGACATGAGACACCAACACCAGGCAAATGATGTAATTTTTAAAATACAAAAATAAGTTTTTATTAGCTTACATAAGTAATATGAGAGAATGTTGCATTGTTCCATCCTACTTGTTTACATTATTTTCCAATCAATCTCTCCAATTCTTTTTTTTGGGGGGGGAGTCCAGTCATGGGGCCTGAACTCTGGGCCTGGGCTCTGTCCCTCAGCAGTTCAGCTCAAGGCTAGTGCTCGACCACTTGAGCCACAGCACCACTTCCGGATTTTTTTTCCCCTTTTTGCTTATGTGGTGCTGAGGAATCGAACCCAGAGCCTCATACATGCAAGGCAAGCACTCTAGCACTGAGCCACTTTCCCAGCCCTATTTTTGTTTCTTAAGTATACTGGCCTGAACCTATTTTTATGTCTAGCAGTTTGGCAAGAGACATACATTTGAAAAAATCTATAGAAAGCTTGTGGAAAAATGATAAACACTAGCAAAAAAAAATTAGAAAAAATGGCTTTTTCAGTTTAGATACACTCATAACAATCAGGGTTTAAAGTATTTTCATTCATATAGCAATTCATTTTTATAAACTCTGTTGACTGTCTTTTATGTCCAAAGCTGTACACTATGCAAAATGATAAAACTCATAAGCTATGACCCTTACTGTTGTGGGCTATAATCATAGTTGTACTCTACCAGATGATGATGAAACATCTGAAGAACATCTGTATGGATTGTAGAAAAACAATGAAGAAATGAATGTGATGCGGAAAACTAGAAAGGGCATACCTTAGCAAAGGTGGTTAAGAAAGGCCTCAGTGGTTGGTAATTTTAGGTGTCAACTCCCAGATAAAGGGAAACTTAGAAACTCAGTAAAACCTTATTTTAAATGTGTCTGTGAGAATTTTTCCAGGATTACTGTGTAAATTCTGAGTAGACTAGGGAAAGAGTCACTAGGTATGCATGCCTACCCCCTACCTCCACACAGGTATATCATTCTATTGGCTGGAGAGAGAACAAATACCTAAGGCCAACCAGTCTCTCTTCCAGAGGCAGGTGAGATTCTTTCCCTCTTGCCTTAGATGTCAGAGCTTGCTAACCTTTAGACTTGGATTCCAAGATTTAGACTAGCAGCCTGCAGATGATTCCTCCACTGCCAGAATTCTCCTAATAAACCCTCTCATATATATAATATATATACACATACATACATATAATGCATATTATTATATTATATATAATACTATATAATATATATAATATATAATAATGTAATATATAATATAATGATATGTATTATATATATTCTTGTGTCTCTGGAGAACCCTGACAAATACAGCCTCTCAGAGAAGGTGATGTTTGAGTAGAGACCTGAAAGAGAAGATAGGACAGGTCTACCTTGTCAATAACATAATCAGACAGTATTCTTATAAAGAAAAGAGTAAAAGCCTAGATTTTGAGACAAGTAAGTAGATTTGATGCTCAAGGACACCAAAAAGAGCCTGGTGCTGGTGGCTCATGCCTGCAATCCTAACTACTCAATAGGCTGAGACCTTAGGGTCTTCATTTGGAGTCAGCAGCCTGGGCACAAAAGTTTGCTAGACTTCATTTCTAAAAAACTAGCAAAAAGCAGGAGTGGAGGTGTGGCTCAAGTGATAGAGTGCCAGCAGAGCAAGTGTAAGGCCTTGAGTTAAAAACCTAGTACTCGTCCCCCTTCCCCCCCACAAAAAAAGAGCAGACTGTAAGCCAGTTTGGTGAGATCCTAGTGAGCAGGGTGGGACAGTAGTTAAGGAAGGTGTTAAAGAGCTTAAATAGGGTTACAAGTGGACCCATTGCAACAATGAGATGTACAAGTCGTTATGTCGAAAACGAACTTTACAACTTTGGTGGGGGGGAAGGGGAGTGGGGAGGGTTGGGTGGGGAGGCAGGGGGAGGATGGGAAAGGATGGGAAGGGGAAACAAAGGAGGAGGCTACAATGCTTGATAAGAAATGTACTCATTATCTTGCCCATGTAATTGTAACTTCTCTGTACAGTATTTTCACAATAAAAAAAGAAAAAGGAAAAGAAAAAAAAGAGCTTAAAAGGAGTCAGATAATAGATAAGTAAGACCTAAAGGTACTGATAAAGAATTTGATTTGGTTCTCAGAACAAGGGGAAACATGGAAGAGTCATTCCTGTGGAAAGTCAATTGCTGAAAAAAATTCTCATTGAAATTTAAAAAATGTTTTGCAGAGGATAAATAATAATAAATAGAAACATTATATATAATATATATTTATATAATATAAACAAAACACTCAGTTGTTTACACTAAGAGATGTCTCTATTATTTTGGGGATATCTATATCATTTAATACTGCTTTACCTTTCATCTACCCATCTGGTGTTATAAAGCAGTTTCTGTGAGAAATCATAAAACACAGTGCTTAATTAGGCTGTTGTGTGGGTTAGTTAACCTCTATGTACCTCAGTTACATCATCTCTAAAATAGGAAGAGGTAAACATACCTCTTATAGTACTCATAAGGATTAGCCTGGCCCCAAATTTCTTTGCAATTTTCAAATTTCAAAAGCTGTGAAAACCAATAAAAATTGCATTTTATAAGTCAATTGTACATACTCAAGTGGTTAAAAAAAACAATTGAGTTGACATGAAGATATGTATAGTCTTTTTTCTATTCAATGTTAATGTTTCTTTTCTTTTGCTTTAGAATTAGTAATATGTTTATTGAACAGTGTCACTGACCTCAGTGGAACATTACATAATATATGGTATATACAGGGGGAATGAGAAATTTCTGAATTTGGATCACATCTGGCCTCATAATTTTCCAACAAGAGATTGTACACCTTACAGGAAAGTGCTTAAGTAAAGCACGTGGTAAGTTGTTGCTGTGGGTAGTGGACATTAGTGCAATAAATACTTTATCTTTCCCAATAGCTTGCTCATAGTGATTACTGCATAGATTATTACCATGTATATACATGCTAACTTATTTGCACAACATCATGGAATAGGGACGGCTGGTTGTATAGGCCTTATATAATATGACAACAGATATGGCAGAGTCACATGATTGAAATGAATCAGGACCCCAAGTTTGTCAGTACTGTTTAGTCTAGTAGCACATTAAGAGTACTTCCTCTGTGTGTGTGTGTGTGTGTGTGTGTGTGTGTGTGTGTGTGTGATTTAAAGAAAACCATGGTTATTTGGGACAAG